GCCACATGCCCACTTCAGCTGACCGCTTCTCTGCTCCTGCCCCTTGGGCTCTGGTCTAATCTGCTCATCCTCCCTTCCGTGTCCCTCCCCCACACATCAGAAATAACACACTAACATACATCCCCAAGTAGCAAAGTCAAGCTCCCTGCCCACAAGCTCCCCAGGCTTGATGGCCCTCAAACCTATGGAGGCCAGAATTCTCTTTCTATCGAGACTAGCCCCATTCTAAGCACATGCAGTGCAGGAGGCCTGAGGCCTGGTGAAGGCAGAGGGCTGGGTGTGAATTCCCAACAACTTGATTTCTCATTTTCGGGAAAGGGGATTCCAAAGTCTATCAATCCTTCTGTGGCATTCGAAAAAACAAAACCAAAACTCAAACACGATTTTTTTTTTCTCGTGTGTGTGTCAAGATAAAGGTCCCGGTCACTGCTGCAAATCTATAAAACATTAAGCTCCCCCACGAGTAAAGGGAGACACCCCCATGCTGGGTGGGTGGTGTGGGTTTGGCTGAGCCTAGACAGCAAATTGGCTGAGCCTAGAGAGCAACTGGGGGGCGGGGCCTTTGGAGAGCCCCTAGAATTTAAATATGCCTGAGAAGAATGACATCAAGAAAGGAGGGCAATATTTTAAATTTAGCATAATTGGGCCTAATTTGGTTCAAGAGCTGTCTGACATTCGAACTGCCTTTCTACAACAATGAAAGCAGCACAAACACGTCCTTTTGGTTTCAGGGCTGTCTCCAGAGCTGTCACCTCCATAAAGGTGAATCTCGGGAGATAATAAGAGGAAGAGAAGAATTATGAAAAAGAATTATGGCAGCTTTCACCGTCCCCAAGTCACAGGGAACAAAACAACCATAAATCTAAATGACAGCAAGAGCACACTTTGAATGTTACTGGAGAATTATTTGACAAATATTTACATGTTGCATATTAAATTATGCGATCCTTTTAGAGCAATAAATATTTTAGAAGAAAATTGTATGCTGAGCCACATCCAAGATAGTACCCATCTCAGGAGCCAGGAAAGAACACATTTTCTTAAACAAGACACATCTGATCCTTGGTTACTCAAACCGAATGAAACATCTGTCAGCTTGGGCAGAATTCCCTTCTTAACTGACCGGAGATCATTAGCTCAACAAATGTACCCAGAAATCCTTTCAAAGCCTTTAGAGACATTTTTCTTCTAGGAAGCTGGCTGTGGGCAGGACCTGTGAGCTGCACATTCTCTAGATGGAGCAAGTACCCCTCTATTCCACCAAACTTCTCTCTAGGGCTTTCTGTAAGGTTTTTACTATCACTAATTGTGATAAGCTTGTAGATCAGGCCCAAAGGGCTCATGCCTCAGGGCCTTTGCACTTGCCGCTCCGCTACCTGCAGCGCTTTCCCCCACATTATCTTCTCTACATCTTAGTCAAATGTCAGCTGCTCTCTCAAGTGACCACTCTCAATCCCTGAACCCCTGGATTGTGTTTACCCCTCTCCAGGTGCTGCAGGCTAGACTGGGGTACGACGACAAAAGCCCTTCCTGAGAAGGTGCTACCTGAGAAGGTGCCCCTGAGACCTGAAGGCAGTGAGTGAGCACACCTCTGCCAGAAGGTTGAACACTATCACACTGAAACCAGTTCACTTCCCAATTTCCTGTTTTTTAGCCAGCTCCTCTGGGCTGGCCTCTTGCCACCAGACCCGGGTTGGCCTCTCCTCTCCAGCTCTGGCTCCCATATACCCCCCCCGCCCCGTACCACAGCACAACCAACCATACTGCCCCCAACACCACCCCCTTGGCTCGGTCAGCTGACCAGAACATCCTCCCTCCACAGCCCCCCAAGTCTGTCCTCACTAGGCTCCCAGGATTGTCGGAGCTCCTTGCATTGAAGACACTTGCTCTGTATCTCTTTGGACTGCCTTCTGGGGCCCTGCCTCGGGCTCTAAGCACCAGGTAGTCTTCCACTCTAAGCACCAGGTACTATTACTGTGAGTGCTCTCCTCAAATAAAGGGCCAACTCTCAAAGGCAAGGACTGTTGATTTCTCTTCCGGTCTCCTACAGTACCTGACCGTTGCCTAACAAGAAACACATCTGCAATGACTCGCTGTCCCATTTGCCACTGGTCGTGCATTGGCCCTTTACAGCACTTTATTCGCAGTTTTTATAGGAAGACGGAGGCTGTTTGATCAACAGAATCTGGGAGCCACTGGGAAGAAGAGAAGCTCTGGCCTCCCTCTCCCCCAAAGCACAGAACACAGGACTTGCTCCTTCTGATCAGAAGATACAAGAGCCCAGGGGTCTTGCCATTTGCCAGCCATGTACCATTTCTCCATCATGATTTGGTGGGGAGCAGAGAGGAGGAGACTCAACGCAGAGAAACAAAGGGAGACGCTGCAATCAAGGGGAACAGCAGAGAGAAAAAAAACTTTGCCTGGCAGAAGGAAAAAGTGCTGGAGGATGTGTTCTTCCCAGCTGGGAGGAGGCTGACAAGAAACAGGAGGGGATGGTTAACGAGGGCTATTGTCAGTGTCATGTGCATTAGGGGGTTTCATGCTCACGACCCTGGGAGGTACAACTAGGAAACCGAGGCAGAGAGGCTGGAACCTGTCCTTCTGTCCAGTTCCATTGCCCTCCCCGGACCCTATGCTGAGGGAGCGTCTTTCAAGAGCAGCCCAGAAACCCCCTAGCCACGGGCTATTTATATTGTTCTCAGATGGCTAGAATGCAGCAGTCCCCAAACTTTTATTTGTTGCCCCCGAAGGAAACATCATAAAGCTGGGCCCAGTGGAGCCTCAAAGCAGCTTGGCCTCTGCCCACCCCAGCCGCCTGGACACCCCAGGCTGCTCAGGAGATGGGACCGACCAGCCCCCCACCATGTTCTTCCTGATCTTTGCGAGGCTTCCTTAAAAGCAGGCCCTGCTACCTGCTTCAGGCAAGAGAGGTCTCCTATAAACACCTGTGTGTGAAAACGCACCTTAGTAAAAGCCAAAGTAGAGCTGCAGAAACAGCCCCAGCAGCCCACCCCCGGTGAGGGCAGAGGGAAGGAGGGGTGCAGGCACTGCCCGGGGTCCTAACACCTCCAGGGCTCCGGGGCCTCTGGGCCAGCGCTGGCGACACACGACACCAAGCATAGTCCCTTCCCTGCTTTCAAATGCTGTGTCAAGCAAGCCGCCCAAGTGTGGAAGCAGAAAGTGACACTGGCAGGCTCCTCCATGACTAAGCCCAGCCCAAACCACAGGGGGACACACAGCACCCCGCTCCGGAGATAAACGGAAGGCACAGGGTCCCCGAGATCCCGAGTAAAACTGTCAGCCACAGGCTCCGGGGTAAAAAGCACTTGCACTGCCGATCTGTGCGAGGCTGAGGCTGCGGATCCCTCCGGACCGGAGACTGTGACACTCAGGTGAGCAGCTGCCGACCCAGAGGGACTCCCGGGCGCTCGGCCGCTGGGGTCCCTCTGCAGTGTGTCCCTCCGAGGGTTGGGTGGGTTGTTCTGTGAGCCAGGCATTCTCAAGTCTTCGAAAGCCAACTTTGTCTTTCCTTTTCAAAATGTTTCCTGCTATCTCTGAGTCCTGACATGACTAATGGATACCTCGTGCCTCCCTCCACCTCCCCCGCAACCTCGCCTGCCCTATGGGGTGGGTATCTCCGCCTCCACAGCCTTCCCAGACCCTGCTCCGGGGACCCCGGCCGGCCCTGGCTCGGGGCAGTGGCCACGCGGACGACGAAGTCGGAGACCACGCTCGCGGGGCGCCGCGGAGCTGGGGGCTCCGGGAGGGGGGCAGGCGATCCGGGAGGAAACTCCGACTCCCCGGGGCCTGCAGGAGCCCGTCCGTGTTCGGGCGTGGAGGAGAAAGGGCAAGGGCAGCGGGAGGGGCCGGGGGTCCGGGGTGGCAATTGGGGCTCGGGACAGGACGTTGTCCCTGCAGGCCAGGAAGGGTAACGGTCAGAAGGGGCCCAGATGGAGAAGACCCGGTGAGGGGTTTCCAACCCGGATCCGAGCGCGGGCCCCCGGGGGTGGGGGCGGGGGAATTCAAGGACAGGAGGACTCCGGGGGCGGGAAACGAAAGGGAGGCGGTGAGGACTCGAGACTAGCGGCGTCTCCCGCGGCGCTGTGACCTGCGGCAACGCTCCACAGCCACCCTCCCACCCCGCCGCCGCTGCCGCCCAGACTGCGACCCCGGCCGGGGAGGCGCAGGGCCGCCCAGGGCTCCACACGAGCCGCAGGACAGCGACCAAGACGCGCGCTGGGCAGCGGCACAGTCACCGCGGGACTGGACAGAGCCGGGATCAGGGTGGCGCGGAATGGGAGGGAGGGCGGAGGGGATCCCACCCCGGCGGGGACGTCAACTTACCCGGCCGTTGCGGTCGGTCTCCTGCACCTCCTCAGCGCTCGGCCCCCGCCGCACCAGCGCCCTCAGCAGCCCCACGTCGTTGGCGCAGGCGGCGCGCAGGAGGGTCGCCTCCTCCGGGACGCCCTCTGGGACGCTCTCCGCACTCGCGGTGCCGTATTCCTCCTCGCCTCCGACAGGGTAGAAGGAGTCGTCCGAGGCGATGCTGTGGGTGTCGGGCAGACACGAGAAGTCCTCGTACTCCTCGTAGTCAGCAGGGTCCTCCCCGTCCAGAGCGTCCCGGGGTGGGGACGGCGTCTGCGGGGACACGCGGCGCGCCCCGCCGCCCTCCGGCCCGGGCCCCGCCAGCAACACCATGCTGGCGGCCGGGGCGCGGGCCGAGAGACTGGGGCGCGGGGCGTGCGCCGAGGTCACCGCCCCTCGTCCCCCGCGGCCCCAGAAGAGCGGTGCTCCGCGCGCTCCAGCCCGGCGGAAACGAGCGCCGGGCAGCTGCGCTCCGAGACTAAAGTCACCGGAGGCTGGAGAAAGCCCCTCGGGGGTGGGAGGAGCCGCGGGGGCTTTCCGGGCGCGGCGGGCGGGCGCGGGCGGGGACCGGGCGGGGCCCCGCCCCCCGCGCTCGCCGCCTCCTTCCTCTTATCTCCCGGGGCCATGCCTGTAATTCCGAAAAATATTCTAACTCAGTAATTAATGTCTGAACTTCAAGAGGCCCCTGCTTTCGGCAGAGGCGCGCAGAAGGCGGGCGGGGACCGGGCGGGGCTGAGGCCTCGGTGGGGAGGGGCGGGGGTGCGGACTTTTTCTAAACTGGCGAGTGGACGGTGGAGGATAAATCAGGACACACATCTATACATATACACATGCATCTACGTTTTTAAATCCTTTGGGGCTTTTTTTTTTTTTTTTTAAGTAAGATACCTTCCTCGCACCCTCCCCTCCCATCCCCAGTGGTGGCGGTTTCGCAATGGGCTGATGGCAGATTCTGCTCAGTCAACTTTGGGGCTAGAGGGGAGATAGTCTGGGGCACTTTCTCCGTGTGTAGGGGGATTGGCTGGGGGGGAGAAGGAGTGACCCACATATTTAGAAAATAAGAAACCAGGCACTGTGGGGTTGACAGATGGCCATCGGTAACTTCTGGTAAGTGGCCCCAGTGAATCCTGGCGCCCCTGGACCCCCCCTTCCAGTGCCTCCCCATGGTTTGCACAGCCCAGCCCTGCCCAGACTTCATGCCAGGTACGCAGCAATAGGGGGCACCAAGTGCTGGGCTGGCTGCTTGAGCGTGACGTGGTCCCTCCCCTCCCAGAGCTGCTATCTGCTGGGGAGAAGGGAAAAAGCAAAGCACCCAGGACTGGGAGCTGGTGCACAAGTCACATGCAGCTACCCGCGGCCCGCCCCCCCCCCACAGACCCGCACTGATCTTCCTTAACCTGCTAGCTCTCAGACCCACCGATTAAGTTTAGCTGTTGAGGATACCCGGCGGACTGCCGTCCCCACCTCCAGATTTAAATAATGTGTAGGCCAGCGCTTGTCCATCTGGGCTAGACATAGTTAGGAACCAGCTTTTCTCCTCTCTTCTAGAATCCGGTTCCTTATTGAGGGCTCCATTATCACCGCCACCAGAATGATCAGAAGGTACAGGTAGCCTGGGCCAGGCCCTGAGAGAAGAAACCTCCGGGATTGCCCGATCTTGTAACTGGCAGAGAAAGACGCTAGGGAAGAAGGCCGCCCTCAGAGCCAGATGAATTCGGGCATCTTATCCTCTCGGGCCCTCAGTTCCCTATTGGGATGAGGATTAAACGGGATTTAGTCGATTTGCTAATTACAAGTTGACTTCCTCCCTTCCCTGTGGGGGGACTCACAAAACAAGGACATGAAAAACAAAAACCATGAAATAATGGGATCATGCAGCAGCGTATTTATATCATATAAACCAAGTGCTCCTTAATAAACAAAGCTGTGAAGGAACACAGTAAAGTACGTGTCAGGGCCTTTGCTCTTGCCTTTCCTTGCAGGAGAATGGCCTTCTTCCGGTCACCCTTCCAGGTCTCAGCTGGATGTCGGTCCTCGGTGGACCCTCACTCACCACCCCCGCAGCCTGCTTTCTTTTTCTCCAAAGCCTTTACCAGGATCTGGCTCTCCCTTAGAGCTTTCTGCGTCATGTGTTTTCTCTCTCCCCGACTAGCATGGAAGCTCTCTAAAGACAAGGAATGTGTTTGTTCTCTTCACTGCAGTATCCCCAGCGACTAGAACAGTGCCCGGCACGGAGGAGGTGCTCAGTAAATACTCATTGAACAAATTAATGAAATGGAATGTCTAGACCGCGCAAAGCAGGAGACAGTAGGCACCCTTCTAGAGTTCATCTGGGAAGACCTCTCTGAGCAGATAAATCCAGAATCCCTGAAGAGGCGGAGTGAGCGAGCAGGGTGGAGACTGGCCGGTAGTGGTCCCTGCAGATGAGCTCAGAGTGGGAGAGGAAGAGAAATGCTCCCCCAGATCAAACTCAGAGGAAGCAATCTGTGCTCACAATTTGAGCAAAAGGGGGAGAACTACCGTCAGCCCCTGAAGCTGCCTGCGTTCTGTCCCCACGCTTTGCTCTGCTCTAATTAAGTGGTCGTTTCTCGACTTTGACCCACTAGTCCTCATATGAGATTGAATTAGTCTGTCCCGAGTCAGAATCCCGTGAGCCACAATCACGAGAAGTCAGGGTGGGCTTGTGGCACAACTTCACGGATCAAGAGCCGTGGGGAAGGGGTTGTGGAGGGGCGCTGAGGGGGCGTCTTCTGTGTGCAATGCCGACCTTCAGCTGGGCCTTGCTCTCTGGCCTCTCCCTTGAGGAGGGAAAGGAGTAAAGATGCGCAGAGCTCAGGAGAGTCCTCTGAGGGTCGGGGAGAAGGTGAGCACAGGAGCTGGGAGGGGACACGTGAAGTCACAGATGTTGAGGACAGTGGCAGCCTCGGTCCTTAACTATCTCGGCGCAGTCCCGACTAGGGAGCAACGTGTCCAGTACAATATAATGTGAGCTGCTGTGTCACCATGTATTTGCTAGTAGCTGCATTTTTAAAAAAGGAACTGGTGAAATTAGTATCTTTTATATTATCCAGTATAGCCAACGCATGACCATTTCAACGTAATCAATATTTAAAAGTATCAGTGAGAGGTTTGTTTTTTTATATATATATTCTTCTTTTTTGTACTCAGTCTTTGAAGCCCACTCCATATTTTACGCTCGAAGCGCCTCTCAGTTCGGAGTAGGCACATTTCAAGACCGCATGTGGCTGGTGGCTACTGCCCTGGACAGCATGGGTCTGGAGGCTAGCTTCTAGAATCCTCAGCCTTTGGGGGACTGTTCTGGAGTCCTAAAGTATCTGGATCCCCAAAGCCTCAAAAGTATTTTCCCTAGCTTCTCTCACTGAGCACCCAGAAGCAAAAGAAAACGTTGTGAGCTAAAATCTAAATCAACCAGCCAGCATGCTAGCGTTGGGTGGTTGGCTGGGGCTCCCTGCTGGGGTCTGCAAAGGCAATCCTTTGGACCCCCGAATGAAGAAAGGTGAGGAGAGCGGAAGGTGAGGACAGAAAGGGCAAGAGAGAAAACCAGCACAGACCATGGGAATCAAGGGCAGGGGGTGGCAGACTGTGCCACAGAGCTCCCAGCAGAGTCCGCAGACCCGGGAGGGGGCTGCGGGCAGTCCTCGGAAGGCACAATTAGCTCACTCCTGCATTGCCCTTTTGATTACACTGTTCTCAGGACTTCCATTTCTGTAATTAAGACCTTGTCCCTTACTCAGAGGTATTGAAACATAAAAGTATTTGCTGAATCTGGCTTCCCAAGGTTAAAAGCCAGACTTAGGAAATGCAAACACACTTGTGGAAATGCAAACACACATTCAGTAACTAATTATCCCATAATTAAGGCCGAAACCCTGCTTAAAACAATTAGCTCTGGGAATTGAACAGTAGGTACAACTCTACTTTTTGCTAATTGTTCTTCCCTGATAGACTGGATATGGCCAGTCTGGGGAGGGCGGGGAGGAGGGACAGTAGGGAATGAATTAGTCTGCCGCTTTGGGTCTGGACTGGACCATGCTCTGCTTGGTTTGGAAATGTTAGTCAGAGGAGAGTTTGAGGTGTGGAGAATAGCAAGGAGGATGTGGTTTGGGCAAGGGGAGTTGAGCGGCTGCCCCAGGCTTGGACGCGGGCCATGGGAAGTCTCAGAAGCTACTGCGGGCCACACTGAGGTGGCTTGCCTGGCTGGAGCTGAGGGTGTGGGCCAAGGATTAGCTGACTGGAAAGCAATTAGACGAGGTGGGGCAGGCTGGGGAAATACCTGGAATCCCAGGGCCAGAGTTGAGACTTGCTTGGGTAATGCCCTAGGCGGGAGGCCGCAAGCCTTTTTGGCCTCTTGCTGATGGTGAGGAGGGGGTTCTAGAGTGTGAAGAAATCGGGGCGGGGCAGGATGCTTTCAGCCTTCCAGGAAAGAGGCCCTTTTCCTGATGACCAAGATCTCCTCCACCTCAGTGTGTCTGCTCCCTCCCTCCACCCTGCCTCAGACTCCCAGGACTTTCCTGAGGCCTGCCCCACGCCATCAGGTAACCCCCCCACACACACGCCTTTTCTAGGTAGGAGGGATGTGTGTGGAAGGTGTTACCCATCCAGGGACTTTCACATTTTGAAAGGAGAACTTGGAAGAGTAAAATGTGTACCCCAAAGGGGAAAAAAAGAGGCTCAGGGGTTCGTAGAGGTCGGGGAGATTACTGATCCCCCGCCTCCCAGTGAACCCTCTCCCCAGAAAATACCCACATGCATTAAAGCTTTGCAGAGAATCCCTGGAGCCTGTCCTCTGGGGCTTCTCATTACGAGCCCCTGCACTAGAGGTGGAATTTGGGGTTTTCGTACAGGCAGGTGGTCAGAGGGGCCTTCCAGACCACCCTCAAAGCAATTGTGTAAAGGATCCCCAGGGTTGACCTGGTACAGCACAGACAAGGACTGACACCCCACTTTTTCCCCCCCCAGAAAGGATCCCAGCTCTTACACTGGTCCTCCTTCCTTCCCATCTCCCCTCCCCTCCCACCTTCCACCCCTTCTGTCCCCTTCACGCTCTCCATAGATCAGAGGTTAGCAAACTTCTATAAAAGGCCAGATAGTAAATATTTTAGCTTTGCAGGCCAAGAGGCTAAATCGAGTTTAACCCCATCCCTGTGATTTGTACTGCCCTGAGCAGCCGTGCGAAGCCACGAGAGCAGTTTCTGTGGAAAGTACTCAGTTCTGCCTTCCTAATGCGAAAGCGGCCGTGGACAATATGTAAATGAATGTGCGTGGCTGAGCTCCAACTAAACCTTATTTATGGACACTGAAATTTGAATTTT